CAAAGGGGGCGGTGGTGGAGCCCTCATATCCGCACAGTCCCGGTCCCAATGCCGCTTAGGGGCCCTAGTATTTTCCCGCTCGGCATACTGGAAATGATGGCCAACGGGAGTTGGTCCTCTAGCTTGTGATCCAACCGGGGTTCGGTCACTGGGACTGTGGTGCGCGGTTGGTGGGGCGCTACGTCGATTATCCCGATGGACATGTGAACGGGATGACGCCGCGGTTGTTTCCGTGCGTGGGGTCTCCCCTGTAAAGCTGGAACTTCCTTCCTCTTCATTCGCCATATGCTGCATGACCTGGGCCATGTCCCGCATGGCCTGAGGATTTCTTCTCAGAGATTCAGGAATCACAAAATCCCCATCGAAACGAGGATTCGGTCCTCGACTGGATTGTCCCTGAGGGTTTTGACTCCTCAGGGTGTGACTCCTCCCGTGACGGTGTGAACCGTCGCTTGTATGATAGGAACTGATTCTGACCATTTTTTGAAAAATAGAAATTTTTTGGATGATTTGAAAGTGAAACTTTTTGCAAGTTTCCCACAGACGGCGCCAATGTTGGTGGTAAATCCCGTAGATCCGAAAGCCCAACACGAACTTTGGATATATCAGGAATGGCCCAGAATCAAAGTGTGTAAAGAAATATATGATCTGAACTAACTAACACTCGAAAGCTCACTTGTATTAATTAACCAATCTGATTACAAGGAATTTCCCGATCGGTAGGCCAGAAACTATGCTTTAATACAAGAAATAAGAGCAATTATGCTATTCTAGAGCCTGAGTATTGAAATGCTAACCCTTACAATGACTTGAAACCTTCTATTTATACTAATAAAGAGCATGGGCTGTCCCATGCTGATTGGCCGTTGTTCCACCGACTTGGTCATCCATGCTTCCACTTGCTGATGTCACAGTCTGGCATTAATTGCACCTGGCCACTTGCTGGTTGGCCGTTGCTCGAATGGGATGTTGGGCTGTACTGAAGATGCTGTCAAATTGGCCCAAGTATGATATATAGTCCGAACTCCGTTCGGTATGTCTTCTGACTGGGCCAACCTTTGTTTGGGCCGAACTCCGTTCGGTATCTCTTCTTACTGGATCTATTCATCATAGAGTGATGGGCCCGTTGCTTGGGCCGGATATCTTGGGCCTTCCCGATCTGGGTATTGGGCCTCTAGGTCAATATCCCAACACCTCCTATAAATGGTTGGCATGTGGTTTGCAACAAACACACGTTCACAAGCAATCATACACGTTTTTTAGCTCTCAAAAACACCTTCAGCTCTCTGAAAATTTCCTGAGTGTTCAGTCCTTGTTCCCGTTCGCCGGAACTCTCGTTTGTGTGCTCAAACGTTAGTTCGATAGCCACCGTATCCTGGGAAACAGTCGTTACAACGCTCCTAGCACCGTGGGAGGCGACAAATACGTTTTAAGGACATCGTGCGTAGCACGAGCTCTGACTAAACTCTGTTCCATCTTATTTCTGGTTTTATTTAGCTATTTAAATTAATTAATTTTTATTAATTAATATTTCTTCGTTTTTCCGAGACACACCCTACAAAAATTGTAGTGTAATTAGTTTTGTACTCTGTATTTTGTTGTTAGAAATTTAGAATGAATGTGTAATTTTTTTTATTGTTTTTGGATTTCACTTGACTTTTAGTTGAATTGCTAGAGGAAATCCATGAGTTTGTATTTGGATTTTATTGGATTTCATCAGACTTCTAGTTGAATCGCTAAAGGAAATTGATGGCAAAGGTGGTACGTCTTGCCCGAGGATATGGCGTCACCGCCTGTCTCGCCAGAGGACACGGCGGCGGTGGCGGTCCCGCCGTGGGATATAGCGGTGGCAGGGGTCGTGCTGTGTCACTGGCCTAGCGCAAGGTGAGATGTCGATTGAGGCATCTGGAGACTTGTGATTTAATCCGTATACGGAGTATTTATTAAATATTTCATTAAGGGCAATTCAGTCAAGTGAGATCTTTTTTACTCCTATCAAACGTTCAACTCCTATTGTTGCATAAGTTCGTTGTTTTACTTCTATTCAAGGAATTAACCCAAAAAAATGATTCCATTAGAAAAACTCAATTATGAATGAATGACACTCCCACCACATTCATTTGTGGTATATGTTTAAATATTTTCATTAATTTTCTTTTGATAATTTTCATTTAATAATCTCTAATCATTCTTATTTTTCTTCCTCTGCATCTTTAATTTTATACCCTTTTCATTCTTTTTTACATTTTACATTTTTCTACATCATTCACTTTTTCTATTATTTTACCCTTACACTTTGACAAACAAGCTAATGTTGCAAAATTTGAATATTATATTATTATATACTATGCTTCGTTTTTTAATCGCAACATGTTGACTTTTTGCACTGTTCACATGATCTACTTTGACTACATTTTACACTATTATTTTATGGAAATTACTTCTTTTTAAAAAATATTTTTCAATTCATCTCATTGGAAATTTTTAAAATCTGATTTTTAATATTTTTATTAATAGAGATTAAGATATACTTACATTCAAATGTGTGTGTTGGAAAATGTGCAAAGGTTGACCGTTGCAACTAAAAAAGAACGTAGGAAGTATGATTTTTTATTAGTATATGCATAAGTCAATTATATTGCAATAAACCTCCTTTCTAACATCACTAAGTTTTTATTAGAGTATCCAACTTGCTCAATTGAAGATACTAGGAGTGGTTTTGACTTTTCGCACTTTTAAGAAATATACACTCTTATATACGGAGTATAAACTAGATAAAATATTCCCAGTAATCTCGTAATGGTAATGATAAATTTAATTTCCAAAATTGGTTATTTATTTATTTATTTATTTATTTATTTATTTATTTATTTATTTCACTAGTATTGAATTAAATTCTCATTTTAATCTTCGTAGTCTGGCCAATCTTTTACTTCAATGATACTTAATAAAATAAAAATATTAAATATAAATGTGAATATTAAGTAATGCAAAGATCAAAATTAACATATTTTGAATCTAAAGTGAAAGTTGAAAGACAGTGTTGGGGGAAAATATAAATGTGAATATAAACATAAATATTAATATGAAAATAAAATTAATATGAAAACATAAATGTAATGTTGAAAGTCAAACTTGAAAGCCAATGATGGCAAATTTTATATTTTTTGAATGAAAATGTAGATATTATTCTAAATGTCAATGTAAATATTAACATAAGTATTTTTAAAAATATCAATATGAATATGAATATTAATGAAACAAGGATTAGTATGGTGAGATTATATTTTCCCATCAAATATTCTTGATCATATAATTCTATTTTTTAAAAGACTAATGTGATATAAATAATTAATTATTATCTTTGCACAATTTCATTAATAATCTTGTTTGTAATCATAATTTTATTTATGTCCCTTTGATAATGTACATAAAATTAATATTTCACAAGTCATCAACACTCGAACTAAATTTATTCTCTATTCTATACAACATAATCAATACCAAACATTTCAGACAAAATCGCTTTTTCATGCAACATAAAATTCTGATTTTGCTTCTTCTATTAAAAAATAAGTAGAAGCAGAATCATTTTCAAACGTCCCTAAAACATATCAATTGAAAATCACCAATAAAAAAACTAACTCAAGTTATTCCACTCAAATTGAAATTTTGCGATTTTACACATGAGGTTTGGCCACAACTAAATACACAAAAATGAACATCAAACAAATTAAATCGTCAATCACTCCTCAAAATTTACTAACATAGATTAAATATTTATGATTTGACATGCTAATATTTTACACTGTAAGAACTTTCGTCTAAAGTAAAATTTATTAAATAAAATATTAATTGACTAATGATACAGAGTTTTATTGTGTGAAATTCTCTCGATGTGTAAGTTATTCGCATTATTCCATATAATTCAAAATATGCACCAACATCTTATGTGTTATGACGGGTCATGTGTTCATTTAATGAAATACCAAACTTAACTATTATATAAAATAAAATTCATTTTCATTTTTATAATATTTATGTATCTGATAAATTTACACGTTGTCAAATGATAGCACTACGATACATGTTTTCGAGGGGTCATATATGTTGTTCTGATTTAGGTCATCGCGGGCTTGAGTAATTCTAATGTTAGAGGGTTTGACATATTGTTTAAACCGTGATTTGATAATATGCAAATTCATTAATTAAGAGGGGTTTTGTGAATTAAATATTTAAACCATAATTATCCATATTCACAAAATTTAAGAATGATTTATATTGATAGAATAAAATCACATGGGAAAAGTACAAACACCACATGGGTAACATGTGAGCTAAAAACCAATTTTCTATTAAATCTAGCTAGATAAATAAGAATTTCTTTGTCCATTTTGTGTTACACATGTAATCTCTATTTATGTATTGCGCTCTTCTTGTATTGCCTCCTTTTCATTGGATGTGTTTATATCCCATCCAAATAAAAAACTACTATTTCTATGTAAATGAAAAAATAATAATGACATACACTTTGTAACAAGATATGGAGTATTTCAAGGGTCACCAAGTATATGATACAATGAGAGATTTTTCCTTTAGTTTACTGTTTATATTTAAGATTTAACATTTCTTATTCTTTATTAGTTATCCTTTGACTTTATTCTTAATCATTTTTTGATTCCATAATTTTGATGTATGTTATAAATTATGACTTTTAATATCCTCTTTTTTAGTATAATTATAATAAGCTTGAGTTTGATTGTGGTTTAGAAAGGAGTAAAGGAATATAAGATCTCTCATTCTGTGGTTGAAATCATTTTAGAATACCCCATGTGGTTGAATCATTTAAAAAGAGAGACATGTGGTGTATGTCTTTCTAAAGAGTCACTGAAGCTATGCCCCTAGACTCATAGGGGAAAATGTATTGTAGCTTTTTATTTTGAAAACTCTAGGAATTTTCATTTTAACACTTTTATAATTTAAGTATAAACTCCATGAGGTATCATTATTCAAGAGCTCCGTAATGCGGATTTTTTTTTTGTTTATGTAGTATTGAGTTTTCATGTACGCCATTTTTTCCACCAAGAAAAATGTTACAATGACAAAGAATATATGATGGCGTTGCTGCACTCCTTAATAGCCATGGAAGATTGGTGGCGGTGGTGATGCATACACAGATCCCAAGTCTGGAGGAAGTACTACATCCGGAAAAGTAGGTGGTGGTGGTGGTGGTGAGAAGATAGGTGGTGGCGGGGATAGAACATGCGATGAAGGTGGTGGAGGAGGAGAGAAGGTTGGGGGAGGTGGGGGAGAGTAGGCCCGCTGAGGTGGCGGTGGAGAGAAAACACGAGGAGGTGGCGGTGAGGCAATAAGTGGTGGTGGGGGTGATGCAACTAATGGTGGTGGGGGTGAGGCAACTGGTGGTGGAGGAGGAGAAACTAATGGAATTGGCGGTGGAGGAGAAACGATCGGAGGTGATGGTGATGGAGAAACAGGCAGAGGTGGTGGTGAGGCAACTGGTGGAGGAGGAGTAGACATGACTAGAGGCGGTGGAGTAAGTTTTGACTTGGGTGGAAGAGTCGAATCTTTGGGGCTAGGAGTTGGCTTTAGTTTGGGTGAAAGGGGAGCTTCGGGGTTGGGAGTTGGCTTAGACTTGGGTGGAGTGAATGCTTTGGGGCTCGGAGTTGGCTTTGGTTGGGGTGGAATTGAAGCTTTGGGGCTCGGAGATGGCTTTGACTGGGGTGGAGGTGAAGCTTTGGGGCTTGGAGTTGGATTTGATTGGGGTGGGAACAAAGATTTGGGGCTTGGAGTTGGCTTTGGTTGAGGTGGAACTGAAGCTTTGGGGCTTGGAGACGGCTTTTGTTCGGGTGGAACATAAGTTTTAGGGCTCGGAGTTGGCTTCGGCTCGACAGGAATTGAAGATTTGGGGCTTGGAATGGGCGTTGGTTGGGGTGGAATCAAAGCTTTGGGGTTAGGAGTTGGCTTTTCTTTAGGTATGCGAGCTTTTGGGCTAGGAGATACCTCCTTTGGTGTATCACCTTTGTGAGTTCTCTTCTTTGGACGTTCCGATCCAGGACTAGTTCTTTTTGGGTCAGCCCGACAACCCGTTTTACTACAGTCTACCGGTTTGCTCAAAACTTCTTGGCATTTCTTCCATGTTTTCTGATTTCCCATCGCAACTAAACAATTTTGTCGATTATCCACGTCAACTTCAGCCTGAGGAGGAACACACGATTGGTCTTGCGTCTCGAAGTAATTGTCCGAAAATGATAAGTTTTTTAGATTTGGCAAAGTGCATAGGTTTTCAGATACATGACCGTAGAACTTATTGTCATCAAGATCCATCACCTCCAAACCCTGCATATACTCCAACCCAACAGGCAACTCCCCAACCAGCCTATTCTTCTTCACATCAAACACTGTTAGATTTTTCAGCAATGTGATCTCTTCGGGTAAACAACCTGAGAACCCGTTACCTAATAGTAACAATTGCTCCAATGTGGCTTCCATCTGCCCAATACTTCTCGGAATGCACCCTTTGAATCTATTGTTAGCCAAGACCATAATGGACGCGGTCGAGTTTCCGAAATTCTCGGGTAGAATCCCCTCCAAACGGTTGTCGTTCAAGAAAAGTGCATCCAATTCTTTGTCAAATAAGCTTGGGGGCAATTTCCCTTCGAAGTTATTGAACCGCAAATCGAGATATTTCAGGGAGGGTAGGCCCAAAACTACATGAGGGAATGGTCCAACAAACCGATTGTTGCTAAAATCCATCTCAAAAAGAAGTTTGAGACTAGAAATGCTTCTAGGAATGATTCCGCAAAACCGGTTTGAGTTTAAATGGATAAGGGCTACATCCGTTAATAGCCCAATCTCGACTGGAAGGTGGCCTGCGATGTCCCCATGATTAAGGTCAATACCTGCTACAACCCAAGACTTGGGATCATCTAGAGCATGGTCACAAAAGACTCCATTATAAGAACAAACATCGGGTCCCACCCAATTCGAAGTGATATTTTTTGGATCTGAATAGATGGCCTTCTTCCAAGCTTGGAGAGCAACATAAGCCTTTTTTTGTCTATCGTTGGCGAATTTTAAATTTTTGTTGTCAACCTTGTCCTCAAAATTAAAACCCTCAGGAAGGTCTCCCCTCCCGTAAGTCAAGAGCTGGCGGCGGGTAATGTAACCCACCTGGGCATTAGTTAATGAAAGGGAGGGGGGAAAGAAAGAAGAAGCAAGGAAGAAAAGAAAAAAGTAGCCATAGGCCTTATTCATGGTCAAACGCGTACCCCTTGGGTTGACCCAAGGTTACTACTCACTCAATGTTGGAACAAGAATGTAAAGAGGAGGTCTTGTTATATACATGGAGAGGTGGTTTTTGAATTTTGAGGTTGCCATTCAATGCCTCCCCATATAACATACAATTATTTCTAAGTGTTTGAGGCACAATTGTCGGAGTGCAGGCTATCCATCAACCAATATTCTCTCACCTTGTTTACCGTACAATGTTCATGGACACAAACATTTTCATGATGTGTAACTTCACATTATTATTTAATTTACCTTTAATAGTAGTTTAATATATGAGGTTGGTTATTATTCATTACACTAAGAGATTTAATTCAATTAATTATCTAAATATAAATAGAAAATGTCTTTATCATTTTCTTTTTTAATTTTAGTTGTTAATAATTTAAATATGCAATCTGGTTGATCTAGTTATATATGAATTATGGTGTGGGGCCTTTCATGAAAAATGAATTGTCTAGATGAATTGTAGGGCCGTTAGAGTATGCACCATTGTATAATTTGTTTAATAATATTATATTATCCACATCAGATGTGCGATAGTTCCATCAACACTTCACCCGATATAGGGGCGTAGCCAGAGACGGGACCGGTACAAAGAATTTCTCTGAATACTTTTTTACATGAACCTTTTTATGATAATTGATGGAGTATATTCCCATATACCCCAAGGGTATCATAATCGTCGGCATTCACATCACGGATCCATCCCGGAGTGCTTTAAAATACTAAGTCCACAACTGGGACCGACCCTGACCCCGACCCACCAACGTCGGGGCAGAGCGCCAGACAACGAAACAACTAAGGACCGAAGGCCAGCCGACCCCGACCTCGACCCCCGAGGTCAGGAAAATATCAAACTCAAGAACCGGTCAGAAACGACAAGTTATGTGCCCGACCTCGAATGCACTGAGCTCGGCAGCGACTCTGACCTCGGGCGTCAACGCAGAGTCAATAAGAGTCAACGTAAAGGAGTCAACGATCCCAAAGATGGAACCAAAGACAGAAGACATTTCCCCCAGCGATGAGCCTGAGTCTCCAAATACTGACTTCAGTGAGCTCAGGGTCTGATCAAGACATTATGGACTTAGACAAATATGTGAAGACAGATATCACAGGAGAACACTGCCACATCACCACCACCTACAAAGGAGGCCACGTCACTCTTGGCAGCGGGTAGAAAGAATATTCCAGATTATACATGTGTAACCTCATGAACATTCGGGTAGCAGTTTGTTTAGGGCAGTTCCAATCAGCCAGTTGTCCCATAGTATCTCTCCAATCACATTTACACGTGATGACTCCCCATCGACTTAGACCGTTAGTTTGTTAGAGTAGATTGGACACACGTCCTCTTCTTATTAATTCATCATCTTTTTACTTGGGCACCAAGTATTTCCTTTCTAGTATAAATACCACCTTCCAGCTTGTGGAAGGGGATCGTAATTTGTATTCTCTTGCTGTTACTCTGCTAAAATATTTGTCTGAACTTTCCTCAGCTCTTCTATCTTACTTACTCGGATTCCGGCTACCCCTGGGTCGGTGATCCATCATTTTTGGTGCTCTCGTTGAGAGGCGAAGTCAAGAAGTTCAAGGATGTTGGAACCAACTGTGAGAATGCCGATAACACAATAAGAAACAGGAGGGACGCAAAACACAAACTAGACAACTATTTATAACACAAAACACCAATCCCGAAATAAATACCTGGAGAAGCGGCAGAAGCTTGCGCAGGGTTGGACGAATCAACCTTCGTAGGATCTACTTCAACCTTTGCAGGATCTACCATTCCTGCAGCGGCAGTGGCAGATGACACCTCCCCTTATCGTCTCCTCCTCTCCAGCATGGGTTCCTCATCCTCGAAAGATTCATACTTGGGAGGGGACATATGGGCAAAAGCCCTCTCCTCACCGGAAGACTGGGGCCCTAACACCTCAGAAGCGGTGGGCCCAGCGGTAGCAGCAGAACTCCCCTGACTCGTGGCCAGCGAGGCTACAACAGCTGCAGCAAAATCGGCTTCTTCCTGAGTAACAGCTTACTCATCAGTGCCAGGCCCGCCCTGAGGTTCCCCATCTACAACAGCCCCTTGGCCTTCGACTGGAGCTTTAGTGTAAAAACAAAGATGAGGTCCTTCATCTTCTCCTCGGTCAAGAACACCTTTATTTGCGGACAGCATCATCAAACTCGCCTGGCTCACCAGTACTGTGCCTATTGAACGAAAGGGACCCAGGGACAGTAAAGGGAGACCCCTCTCTCCTATGAGTACAGACAAAAACAAGCCTATGTTTCCACCCATGGTGCGATGATGGAGTGTTATGGAATCCACTCCTGTCAGGGCGCTGAGAGATAGCAGTGTAACCTTGGTTCCCCGACGAAGTGTTGAGACCAACTTGGAACAAATGCCGGAAGAGGCCAACGTTGACCTTCAGTTTCAGCACCTTGCAACGCAGTAGGAAGCCGGGAATCAGATAAAACCCATTGGGGGTTATCTTGAAAGGGAGCATCTCAACTCAGTTGAGATACTCCACAAAAAACGGATGCAGCGGAAAACGCAACCCGTGGTCCATAGCATCCATGTGGACCGTGAAGAAGCCAGGGGGGAAAGAAGACAACAAACTCCTCGCATCAGGCCTCATGACGTCAACGGTGGGACCGGCTAGACGCCTGGCTTCAGCCAGTCAGCATCGGTGAGGGAACACGTGGCCTTAAGCGGCCCATTCTCGGCAAGGATGCCCACCGCATCCCCACCCCTCCTCTTATCACCTCTCCGCCTCTTGACGGAGCGAAGGGGAGCAACGTTGAGAACAAAGGCAACCTCCTCAACCTCAAGCACATGACATTGATCAGCCTTGTCTCTGGTGTTAACAGAGGCACTGTGAGAAGACATTTTTCAAACCTGCAGAAAAAACACGCATGCAGAAAATCAACATAGGGGGTTAAGGAACATGAATCCGACCCCAAACAAAAATTAAACACTCGAATCGGCATCAGCCCGCGATTCTGAGTCCAGAGGTACCAACCTTAGAAGCAATGGGGGACTGTAAACCCCCCAATGCTCACAACACCAGTTTGACGGAAAAACCCTCATTCTGGGTTTTCCGACCAACCCGTAATAGACAAAGTACAAAAGGGAGAGCTCGGAGACTAACCTGGTATGGGAAGTTGTCTGAGGAAACTGGAAGCAGGAAAGCACTATCCGGAGATGAAAAGCTTTGAGATTGCTTGAAAACTCTGAAAACTCGAATGCAAAGAAAGCGCAAAGGAGAAAGACAAAAGCTTTTGCCTTTTATACTTCCCCTCAAATCGAACGGGAAGCTTACACGTGGCGCACCATAAACTAACCGCACGAAAAACTGAAAGGTTTTTCTCCAAAAAGGGGTGCAAAAAGCGCAATGATGGCGCCGTATAGTCACTTCAAACGCCATGCCTCGCATTTAAACAAATATGTTGCAAAAAGAATGTGTAGAGATTCCTATTTGTACACATCAACATTACTACACGCCACAAAATTCACCTAAGTCCACCAAGTACTAAAGACAGTTACCTCGCCCCCCTCAAGCTCATACACTTCTACACTTATTAAATTTCTAAGTCCACAAATCAAAAAAACAAGACGTCATTGCTACAAAGAGCTCAGAACAACACAACAACCTCATAGTTAGTACTAGGCAGGTATATCTTGAGAACAAGCTCTGCACACATACACATTGAATTCTTTACACTTTTTAATTTCGCAAATAAAATTTTATCAACCCACGATCAGGGCCGTGGATGTAGCAACTAACCCATGAAGCAGGTTTGGAACGCAAAAGGCACGGAGCTCGAGCTCGGACCTACTTGCAGTGGGGTGTCGCTTTCCTCTCAGGACTTAATGACAAAGCGGAGTATACTCTTTTTCCCCCGTTAGGATTTTTTCCCACAGGGTTTTTCCTCAGCGGAGTTTTTAATGAGGTACCCCTTTGTCGTGACCATGGAGAGCAGCACCCCCGCCGGGCACGCCAGCCCAGAAGATTGAAGAATAACTCTCTCACCTCAAGTGTTACTCTCGCTTCGGAGAGTGGGGGACTCATGATGGAGTATATTCCCATATACCCCAAGGGTATCATAATCGTCGGCATTCACATCACGGATCCATCCCAGAGTGCATAAAAATACTAAGTCCACAACTGGGACTGACCCCGACCCCAACCCACCAAGGTCGGGGCAGAGCGCTAGACAACAAAACAAATAAGAACCGAAGGCCAGCCGACCCCGACCTCGACACCTGAGGTCGGGAAAATATCAGGCTCCGGAACCGCTCAAAAACGACAAGTTATGAGCCCGGCCTCGAATGCACCGAGCTCGGCACCGACTCTGACCTCAGACGTCAACGCAGAGTCAATAAGAGTCAACGCAAAGGAGTCAACGATCCCAAAGACGGAACCAGAGATAGAAGACATTTCCCCTAGGATGAGCCCGAGTCTCCAAATACTGACCTCAGTGAGTTCAGGGTCTGATCAAGGCATTATGGACCTAGACAAACATGCAAAGACACGTCACCACCACCTACGAAGGAGGCCACGTCACTCCTGGAAGCGGACAGAAAGAATATTCCAGACTATACACGTGTAACCTCATGAACATTCGGGTAGCAGTTTTTTTGGGGCAATTCCAATCAGCCAGTTGTCCCATACTATCTCTCCAATCACCTTTACACGTGGCAGCTCCCCATCAACTTAGACTGTTAGTTTGTTAGAGTAGATCGGACACGCGTCTTCTTCTTATTAGTTCAACATCTTTTTACTTTGGGCACCAAGTATTGCCTTTCTAGTATAAATACCACCTTCCAGCTTGTGGAAGGGGATCACAATTTGTGTTCTCTTGCTGTTACTCTGCTAAAATATTTGCCTGAACTTTCCGATTAGCTCTTCTATCTTACTTACTCGGATTCCGGCTACCCCTGCCTCGGTGATCCATCAATAGTAATTTAGACACTTTTAAAGTTTGGGGTGGGCCAGGGCATAGGTTGCCCCCAGCTACGACGTCAGTGCCCCGATAGCCGAAAAATGTTGCACGGACTATGCAAT